ATTAGCTTACGGTACAGTAGCGGTCAAAAGTGTTCGCCGAAACGGTTCTTCATGCTCCTCTTTTTTTGCGGGAAAAAATCATCAATGGTGGCCTCGAAAAAATTTTCTTTTGAATATCCTGATTCTTCAAGACTTGAGGATATAAAAACACTAGAAAACATAGTATATCAATCTTTGGAGGGCGTTGCTCAAGCGAGAAAAAAAATGCACTGAAAAATCGTTTCGGCGAACACTTTTGACCGCTACTGTATGTAGCGAAACTTGAAGAGATTTCATTTTTGGGTTTTATTTAAGAAATATTATAAATGCTCTGCTCTTTCAATGTCTTACACTAAAAGAAAATATGTTATTCGCTATTATAGCGCTATTATAGCATTATAGATCATTTTATAGCTTCACCTTCGCCCATGAAAGTAAGGGATTTTGTAGTTCAGCTATTAACGGCATTGCTTGCTTTCAGGAAGAGTTATCTTCGATAACATACAACGAAGAGCTGGACACAAAGAATCGCGACACCCTTGCCACTTACCAGCATGAAGTTCAACAAATGCAAATAAAACTGAATATTCTGCATCAGAAGTGCGTTTGGATTCAGTTGACTCATGAATTTTCAAAGGCTTCTCGCATGCAATTAACATTGAATATCGGATTTGCATGAAGACCTAAGGGAACGTTACATTGATTTTGTAGAATCCTCATGGTTTTGGGGCAAGCGAGAATGCCAAAAGCTATTGCCAAGAGCTTGCAATATTTAGGTAAAAGGTCTGTCTTTATAGGAATCCCCGTATCCACTTCACCTACAAGGATCCATTTGTTGGATTCAATAGAGATGACGTTCGAGGATGTGTGGCTACTCTGTTCCGAATCAAGGACCCAAAATATGCATTGGCTCTTGAGATCGCTGCAGGATCATTTGTGAGTTTTTTCCTTTCGGGGTGATTTACTGCTGTAATTGGTCCTTGCATTTATGGGAGGTAAAGCGTTCATTGTCGCAGCCAACCTGAACAGCCTTTCAAGGTTGTTTGCTAGATGTTCTCAATGCTTCAGGTCAACGAAGAAAAATATTATTAGCACACAGAGTAATGGAAGAACGAGATTTTGGAGTGTTGAAATTGCCAAATATAGTACAAGTACAGCGGAGTATCGCAGCAAAAACATCTATCACGTTTCCGAATTAGCACATTTGTTGAGGGGACATCACGTAGCTAGAGATCTCTGGGTGAAGGTGTAAGCACTCCTCCTTGACTTTCCCGATAGAACACGTACTCCGTATAGTGGGCCCATCGCTGCTCTTCATAGTCGCCGCAATTTCGATGGTTCATAAGGTCCTGAAAATGGACGAGTGTAAGAATTACGTGTGGTAAAACAAATGCATGAGCGGTTCTGACAAGCTTATAAAAGGTGAGGAATGTGATGAGGAATTGTGAGCGTGAAGGACGGATACAGGTTGAGGTGGAGGCTTGGCCTCCTGCTAATTTACTCCGAAGTAAAGTTTATTGATAATAAACAGTCGTTTTGTAAGAGTCGATGATTGGTGGAAGCGTGGGAAAGGATCTCACAATCAGAAATCTCCCAAACTTAGAGAAGGATTCCACAAAAGTCGAAGAAAGGGAAACTCACCTAGTGGAGAGACAGGCGGACCGGCTGGAAGTGCGAACCGAATCACAATCCGCATCGAAGGATATGCCTGTGGACTTATCATGGCCTCCACGCGGCGCAGTTGACGCGCTATTTGCGCGGGGCGCCCCTCTCGCTGTCTGAGTCTAGCCGTTTAGCAGAGAGAGCGTTAGCGTTGAAGAGGGCAGCACCGATGAGAGTCGCATCAATGCGGAAATCAACGGGCAAGGAAGGGGTCCCATTTCCGGGTTCTGGGCGCTTTTCTTTGTTTTTTCTTTTATTGTGGATCACTGACCATCTCCAACTCAATTTCTAAGGCTGCTTTTTATCTAAGCGTAAGCTCTAAGTTGGTTTCCCTTCCCCCAAATTTTCCATTAGTCTTGAATTTCACTTGTTAGAAACACAATCGGCTCCCATTTCAATCTCTGGCTTTTTTGTTGCATTTCAAGGCTTGCTCTCAAAGCTCCTGATGGCTTGATCAGAGATTGATCTTCAAACACCGGAACCCCTTTCTCCTCGAAGCCTTTCGGCAGAAAGGGTAGGAAAAGAAAAAGAGCTTAATCTTGCCAAAAGGAAATTAAATTAGAATCATGAGGAGTCAGAGCCATGCCATCTTTTGTCAATTCAAATATCTTATCATTTCATGCTTTCCCAATCTTACCAGCAGGGCAAATGTATCGAGAGCGTACTTGGATAAAAAAGAAAAAAAAGAAATGTAGTGTCTTGGCATGAAGAAGGCAGATGAGTGGAATGTTGGAGAAAGGTCAATATTCTTGATTTCGACCACATAGTTCGAATCTTCGATATTGAAGTAACAGTAGTGGCTGACAAACCAGAGCGATGTTCTGAAGCAGCAGCTCAGTTCTTTATTAAGCGGCTAGAAGTGGGTAGAGCTGATTGAGCTGGACAGTCATAGATCAGCATGTAAAATTAAGTAGGGGATGGAAGAGTTGGCTTTTTCAGACCATTCGCGGTCATGAAGCGTTTTCTTCCCTCGAACGCTGTTGCCTGATTGCGCTACAAAGAATAAGGGTAGTGCCGGAGTGAATAACACTCAATTGAATTTCCAACAAGGGCAATAGAACGGTTAGTATAGGGTTGAATTCCAGATTCTACACAGTTTCCAAGGTTAATAAGTGATCGCACTAACAACGAGTAAAAAAGTAAATGGAATCCGAATAAATCAAATAAGTGCTGTAGAAGAAGAATAGAAGTGCCGAAAAATTCATAGTGTTTTCATGCACATGATTTTTAAGAATCGCTTGGGTTAGCAAGAGGTAATTTTAGTAGTATAATAAAACTCGCTGGGATAGCCAGATTTCATATATCCTCTCACATGACTCAACACGACCACCCGATAATCTTCCTGTTTACTGCTGACTTTTTGCTCAATCTAATTCTAATTCATTGAATATCCTCCTAGTACCGTAAGAGATTATAACGTTCAGTAGGCCTCCGATAAGTTTTCCATGTCCGTCGTAGATCGAGTTTATGCAGGCAGCCGCTCCGCTAGCAGCACGGACTCGACCGAAACGATCGAGCTTCGACTACAAGCCAGAGTGCTAATTGGTGCCTGAGAATCAGAGGTTTCCCTATATTTCAGAATGCTAGAGGATTGGGTAGACCCCGCAGGCATATTCAAATGCCGCCTTTGCCATTTCTGCAGCGCAAGCCCACTAAGGTTTACAGTTGGGCCTCCTTGCCAAAAACGTCCTTAGGAGAAGCCTTGATTAGCGCGACTTGAACGAAAAAAAATGAAGATGTTTTGCATGTGACGGTAAACAATCCATGTTTTTACGTTTGTTGATTGAGGCATGAAAAATATTCCCTGGAATGTTTTCCTTGTTTAGGCTTTAACCTGCCTTGGGCCGTGTGCAACAGTACCCGGCTGGGGATGGCCCTCAAACTCTGGCTGTGCGCAGCTCCTATGCCTGACTGAACGAACTTCGCTTTCGGGCGAAATTTGTCAAAATCCAGCATACTTGTAGCAGAGAACTCGTCGTCGAGTAGAAGTCAACTATTGGGGATCCATTCTGCCGAAGGTCTTGCATGCACGCGATACCTCATCCTATCCCCGTGAATGTGGAGGAGCTTCATGATGTAAAATAAGTAGGGGATGGAAGAGTTGGCTTTTTCAGACCATTCGCGGTCATGAAGCGTTTTCTTCCCTCGAACGCTGTTGCCTGATTGCGCTACAAAGAATTAGGGTAGTGTCCGGAGTGATTAACTCAATTGAATTTCCGACAAGGGCGAATAGAACGGTTTAGTCGAGGGTTTGAATGTCCAGATGTCTTACACATTCGGTTCGCAAGGGTTGAATAAGTGATCGTCACTAACTATTGAGTAAAAAAGTAAATGGAATCCGATATAAATCAATAAGTGCTGTAGAAGAAGAATAGAAGTGCCGAAAAATTCATAATGTTTTCATGCACATGATTTTCAAGAATCGCTTGGGTTAGCAAGAGGTAATTTTAGTGGTATAATAAGTAGTAAACTCGAGCGCTTGGTGATAACTAGATTTCATTATATTCTCTCCATGACTCTCAACACGACCACCCTATAATTTTTTTGTTTACTACTTGATTTTTGGATCCAATTTACCTCCTGATTTATTGAATATCCTGTAGCTTTTACGTAAGAGATTTATGATGTCCAGTAGTGCACTTGCGATGGTTTTCCATTAGTCATGTCGCTAGATCGAGGTTATGAAGAACAATCGGCGACGCTTAAGTAAGCGCACGGGCTGAGACTCGAAACTGATCGAGTTTCGTCTTACAAGCCAGGGAGTGGCTAATTGGTTGCCTGGGAGAATAGGAGCATATGTAGGCCAGAATGCTCAGGAATGGAAGTGAATGGCATGGCGCATATTGAAAAGCCATTTTTCGTCATTTCTCAGGGCAAGACCGGCTCAGGGTTACAGTTGTAACCTCCTTGGCCAAACATACGTCTTCCATTGGGGAAGCCTTGATTACCGCTGAATTTTGAACGAAAAAAATGAAGATGTTTTGCATGTGGCGGTAAACAATCCATGTTTTTACGTTTGTTGATTGAAGCATGAAAAATATTCTCTGGAATGTTTTCCTTGTTTAGGCTTTAACCTTTCTTGGGTCGTTTGCAACAGTACCCGAGTGGGGATGGGTCCCCAAAACTCTGCTTTTGGGCGCAGCTCCTATTCTTGACTATAAGAACTGCTTTCGGGGGCGAAAGTTTTGTTCACAATCCAGCATTCTTGTGAAGCAGAAGAACTGCGTCGTCGACCGGAGTAGAAGTACAATTTTGGGGAACCCATTCCTGGCCGAGGTCTGCTGCATGTGCACCGATACCCATTTCCCATCCCCGTGAATGGTGGATTGCACCTTTCAATGACATTCTTATTATGGGGACGTTTCAAAGGCTCACTGCAATACTGTACTTACGTGACACCTCTTACGTAATCCTTTCAAGGCTCGAAATCGTAATCAATTTCGTTTTATTACGCTTGTTGCGCTGGCTGTTTCAAAAAAGCCAATTATACTGATGGTTGTGGAGTTTCCATGCTCACATAAAAAAGCAATAATGCCGAAGTTGTCTAGATGTTTTGTAGGTCTTGCTGACCCCCACGGGGCACAGAAAGCGAGGAGATTCGTGTTCCGGTTGGTGGCAAGCTAGGTAGTAGATCAAGGCAGAATCGTATGATACTCTCAAAGCCTATCCCTCAATCTTTCAGATGCTGTTTTTCTCCACTTTATAGGATTTCCTGGGAGCTGACGCTTTGTTTGGTCTATTATGGCAGGCAAACGAGAAGAATGTGGTGTGCGATTCGACAGCGGCCATAGGCGGTCGATTGTGCGCTTTGCCTCCTGGCGTCGTTTAATGGCCTAGTGTCCCTTTGAGAATAAAGTCGACTGCTCTCTATGAGATGCCGTGTCATCCTTTGATGAGTGGGGTGTCCCAGAAAAAGAGGACATGTCGTTTAGTGGAACATGCATTTTGACCCTCTAATCGGTCGACATTAGGCTCTGCAAGGTTGTTTTGCTTCAGGGTTGCCGTCATAGTGAACAGCAATCGTCGCAGCAGAAATAATGAAAAGCGCCTCGCATTTCATTAACTTCGGTAATACTGGTCTTGTTAAGCACCTAATAGGATGACGCACACAAAAGAGTCCATTATAGGAGCAGGATACTTCCTTGGTAGGCTTCACCCGGTAAAGCTGCCCCCATAATCTCCTCTTTACCCTTCCTTATCTTTATCTTTCCCTTTCCGGTTTTTAATTTCTTGACCAAACTGGGGTTTAAGTTAGAGGAATATGAAAACTAGTTGGTTCCATCTATATATAGAGCAGTAGTTTGTCGCGTCTGTCTGTTTGTTACCAGTAGGCTCGCTGACTACGTAGACCCAAGAAGGACAGTTGGGACATGGTCCCGGATGGGTGGTAACTTGTGTGGAAATACAGATGAAAAAGGGTAGGTGAGAACAGGGTCAAAGACGTGGCGTTCACGTCAAAGGTGGGGGGTCGTATTTGGTGCGTTTTGGGAAAAGTCAAATCGGAAGGGTCTGCAGGGAATTTTTAAATGTGTTTCTTGAACAATTTCGAGAGGTTTAGGAATTTTTAATTTGTTGTACATCCACCTTCACCTCCCGCTCACATGCACTCCCACCTTCCATTCTCCCTCCACTTGACGGAGTTTTCAGGGCTGGAAGGATGACGTCAGAATTCTGAATATGTGGAGAGTGCGTCAAGGTCGTGTTATAAAATTTTCTGTTTTTTGAAGCTAAAGCAGCATGCTTCATCAACGAGGGAGGGGGATGGTGGGTACGTTTCTGGGAAACTTTTCCCTGGATTAGGGAACACGATGGAGTGCTCCCCCCTACTTCGAACTCCATTTTTAGCCGAAGTAGTAGTATTATAGAATAATAATATGATATATTTTTGCTTCTACGCATTTTCCCAATACGGCTCCCTGAATCATAGATGTTGTTTCAGGTCAGCCAATTTGTTACTGTGTTTTGCAGAGTTCGCGCGGTGTAGTTCCCACGGGAATGCGTTTTTCTAAGGGGGCGGGATAAAAGTGAAGTAAGTCCTGAAAGGCTTAACAGATTGATTTTTCGAGACTTTTTTGGTCGTGGAATGGAACTGCCATGATGTTGGTTCAGCAATAAACGTAAGAAAGCTAAAAAAAAAGCTAGGGAAAAAAGATAGGGAACAACATATTTTCAACCTCTACACAACCCTCGACGGGCAGTCGGATCATGTGGATTAGTTAGTAATCTGCCATTGCGCGTGAAAGCGTTCTCATTTGAAAGGAATTTGATGCATTCCCAAGAAGGAAGACGGGAAAGAATGTGTAGAGAACAATGCAGTCTATCTGAGAATTCGTAATTGAAGATTTGCCCAATGAGAAGTGAATCTGACAAATAGTGAAGGTGAAAAACATTGAACAATTACCGTGGTGCTGGCCCCACTGAGAGCACCGGCGACGATAGGATGACTAGCAGCGGCGAGTCCGTTAGCACCACTGCAACACGTAGCGACCAACTTGAAACCTTTTTCAGCCATCACGTCACAAGCCTAAATTTTGGGGTATTACGGTAGTAAATTGATGAGTATAGTCAAGAATAACGATGAATGTGACATGGCAGCTTTGAGTGGTGCACTTTTTACGCGATTTATTTCAATGCTATGTTTGTTACGCTCTTCGCTCTAGTTTTATGCGCGGTTGAACACATCAGCCAAGCTTTGACGAATTATGTCGTTGTTTTGGCTTGGCTTGAACAAAAACGTAGCTTTTTTCCCCATCTTATTTGGCTCATGCGGCCTCAGCCCAAGCGCTGAAATTGATCACTTCTTTCTATGTGCAGCAAGTGCCTTTTCCCACCTCATTTGACAAATCTCAGATGCTGACAGGCATGTAATTTTACAAAAAAGTAGGAGGATTTGTGGTTGAGCGCGCTGGTTGAATAAATTTGATGGAGTTGGGTTAAAGGAATCTTCCACGGAAAAAGCTCCGCCCTCATTACCACAGAAAACGATACCTTAAAGGAATCTTCCACGGAAAGAGTGATCATTTTGTCTTGTGTGTAGGATTAGTATTATCGAAACTAACGCTTATGTTCCGTTCTTTTTGCTATGCTCATGAGGCTAGGGGCCTAAGGGGTATCGTTTTTCTGTGGTAATGGAGGCGGAGCTTTTTCCGCGGAAGATTCCTTTAAGTAGTTAAATCGGTGGTCAATCAAATAAAGTGATTGGTACGTACTCGTTCGAGACATTGATGCTTGAGATAGAGCCTGGAAGTGTAGCGCTCGCCGTCGTCCGGTCCACCAGGATCACGACTTTCGTTCAAGGTCTCCCCAAAAACTTCTCGGCATAATGTCGCTCTTCCACATACGAGAATCCTGTGCAATTTCCGGAATTTAACGTCCGCCTGGCCGTCTCTTCCGAATGCGAATGTGCCTCGATAGCCAAGAGTAATGTAACCACCTAAAATGGGACTTTTACGGAAAGAACTTGTATTCAGGTGCTAAAGGACCAGCACCTTGGGACATAAAAACAACTTTTAAATTCAGTTTATACACGGAAGCTTAATTACGCCTAGCGAACGATATATGCTAGACGCATAATATACTCTTGCAAACGAAAATTATTGTGAGGGACCTAATTTTTGAAGAATCGGCTGTGAACGCTTATTGATTACATCGATGGAGCTACTTAGAGGCGATCCATATGGACCGATTTATTAGCTGATATTAAAGAGTTAACTCACCAGTTTCGTTCATGGGATACAAACCACCATTGGAGAGTTTTGGTTTAAGATGGGTCAGTGCATGCAACTGTGGACCAAGTGCATCCCGTAGCTTTTCAATTTCGTAGAATTCAATTTCATCTTTCAGACGACCAGTCTCGGTGAATCCTTCAGGCAATATTAGTTTATCTGTTCTTAGGTAGTTGAGTATGTGAGAAAATAGGAGGCCATCTCGATCGATAAAATACTTGTTGTTGTCTAGTTGAACTATTCCTTTTGGTAATGGTTTAGAAGAGCTTGCTATTCTATAAAGCAATGTGTCAGGATCTTTTTTTAACGTCTGTCGAATGGTACTGTAGTGCGTTCCACCGACGTTTAGTTCAATAACATCATCATCCATCGGTCTGAAAGCAGAGCTTTTAATGAGTGGGTTTGCTGAATAATTGCCTTCAATTACGAAAAATATGCTCCAAACAACGAAAGGAGTCAAAATGATGAGATAATTGCAATTTATTTATTTATTTGTTTATCTTTGCACTCATTGGTGCGCTATGACAACAACAGAATGGGTTAGTTCTGATGGAATGATCGAGAAAAAAACGAAACAAAAACAAGATATCATTGAAACAAGCCTAGCTCGAAATGTTCCCTCAGTCTATGGGAAGAGCGAGTAAAAAACTTCAATATTCGATGGGGGTTTTATCGAGGAGGAAACGATAAACATAATGAAGATAGCGGTCTGAATAAGCGGGAGGAACGAGAATGGCATGGTGGTGGTGGTGAAGAGGCTTCGCTGTTACCCGTGTGTGTGCGGGGCGTGGCTCACAACTCCGCCTTCGCTTTCTGTGAGCGCCTTGACGTGGGAAATACACCTGTTTTCATATTCACGATTGAATTTTGACAAATCATACGAGAAAATTTGGCCAGGGCTGATTGTCTGGTCAACATTGGCTATATTCATGAGATGCCGCCTACATAAATCGTTGCGCGGGGCTTTCTTCATTAGCGTTGGCAAGAAAATAAAGGCATGTGTGAATGGAATGCGCAGACGGGGCTGCATATTGGGATACTCATAGTTGAAAGACAGGCCATGCAGTGGGCGAGACCCTTTCCCCAGCGTTTTATGCCGGCAATACTCGTCTGCTGCTATCTGCTCAGCAATCATGCACGAAGAAGGCTCCATTTCGGAAATTGGCTTTCCTTGAATCACCATTGATTGCGTTGTGCATGAAATATTCGGCGTAACGTTTGTTTTGACTGTTCTGACTGACTTTATAGGATTTCCTTGTCGGGTTGGGACCTAATTGTATCCCTAGTAGGAACAAAAGCTGCCTAGCCTCATAGAGAATTCAGAACACTTTTTGGGAAGTGGAGGTGCAATTATCGAGAACAATGCAGTTAATGCAGGGCGGGCTTAGACAATTAAAAAGGATAAGGATAAAGCATTTGCCGTTGATCAATCCCTTTTGGGATGCGGCACGCATTCTACTTCCATTTGTACATTCGTAGTGGCGTTTGAATGCGATGTGGCCTATACAATGACTTGCGGGGGCCAGCCGATGTACAAGTCAGTGTTTTTATCCTCCCAGACAAGTCTGGTACCAATTAACCGACCCCGGAGGGATGGAAGGCTTGGTTGGCCCGGGCGACTCACGACCCAGGATTTGATCCCCGGACCGCTCGCGTGGTAAGCGTGCCACTTGCCACTACACCACTTCCGCCCTGGCTTTGACAGTTACTACTCGTAAATATTCTGTAGAAGAAGACTTTAATAGCCTTGTGTGAATTTCAGTTGTACCATGTGGTGGTGAAAGACAAGAATACTGCCCGTCTAATTGTGGAGACCGGCCTACCACATCGTCGTACCTTCGTGCCATGGACCGAGTGCGTACCTCGCCACTATCATGACATCGCGCAACGCTTCAGAAGAGCCCAAGAACTTGTGAGTTATTACAAAGTACTTTTACTTGGTTTTATTATTATGTAACAGTTTGCACTGGCCTCTTTTTTCCAAGGTTCATTTTATCGTTGCTCAGTTAACATTTTAAAGCCCGCGCAGTGTCATGTTTTTTGTTTGCATTTAAACGTCCTTAACTTACTGAATAAGTCATTAACTAGTATGGAAGAGAAGTTCATGATATAATTTGGAAATGAGTCTGTGAAATAAATTGAAAGCAAAAAAAACCTAATACTTAAAGCCCAAATGTGGGCTGCTGGTAATACGCGATTGACAGGCTGCAGCTTATATATGGGCTGCATGGTTGTCAAAGCGTTAGAGCCGATCCTCATTTTCTGACTCGAATTAATTTGACAATTCGTTTGGGAAAGTACACTTTCTGATTAAAATTGCGCATGTCACAGGCAGGTTTTGATCGAAAATTGCCGCTTGCATTGACGTATAATGAACGGAAAAAATTGTTTTCTCCATGGAAGGCTAAGCGTGATATTTGTGTCCCTCCGGGCTTGTGATTGCAAAGCTTTTCTGCAAATTTCAATGAAATTATGAGGATTCTCGATTGTCAACCCCACCAAAGGTAAAGTACAATTTCTAATGGTAAGAAGAGGTTGGCTTAAGTTCTCCGCCAATAGTCTCACCGTCAGATTTCTGTAGGAATAAAATGTCGTTTCACTGTTCGATTTCAGCAATATTCGATACCAAGCTGAGGTTTCAAAGCAATCAATTAGTCAAAGATTTATCTTCTATGAGAAACAATTTCATTGAAAAAGTCTGCTGACAGTTTTTTCTTCACATTGTATTGGGCTTCTTGATGGGGAGGGGTTATTTCCGAATTTTCCGACTATTGATCAGATTTTCTCCTAATTTCCTCACACGACGGAATTTCTCGGGAATCTCTCGCAATTCATCTAATTGGAACACGAAAAATTGGACGCAGTTCTGAGAACGATGAGGTTCGGCAAAAACAGTCGTGGGCGAACAAAATTAAGTGTGAAGGGATATTTCATAACATTCATAGCGGTGAACAAAAAAGTAAAATGAAATGACGGACGCGGGGACTGAGCAAGTTTTAAGTTAATACTCAATGCTGTGACCGTAATGACCAAAATCCCAGAACGGGGTTGGGGATGTCAAAGGGGATGTCAACAATTCGGAGTATTTCTCCAAATTACTGTAATCCCACTTTTTTGACCGGAGATGCCTGACAATTTGCTTGAAAATTCACCCATAAATGAAATTTTCACCAGAGAACCTCTTTTGTAAGAGAAATTCTGAAAACAGAAATCAGTATAGGTGATGAGTTTATACGGAGGCGTTGGTAAATGCAGGAAAAAGTAATTCAAATTTAAATTCGAAATTTTGGAGTTAGTTGCTTTGCGATCACAGGTGTCTTGGAAGTCGAGTAACTTCTTGGAATAATTTTTCGAGAGTGACCGGTCATTAATGCTAGTTGCGAAATATAATAATATTTATAATAAGCTTTATAATGTTACCGTTAACGACAGAAAAACCGATTGCTGGATAATTGAATAGTTTATAGTATCGGACTTGAAGAGTAAACTCATAAGTTTTTTGTTGGTATGGTACGAGGGTTGTTTGGGAGGATAAAAACGCCAAATTGTATATCGGCTGGTCTCCGCAATCATTTTGTAGACCATTCGCATTGGAAATGCCGCTACGATCAGGAATGAGAGTAGGCAGCGTGGCGCATCCCACAAAGGGTTGAGCAACGTGGAAAGCTTCTTTTTTTCTATGAAAAAATACTTTATGGAGTATGAAGATGTTTAGGCTCGCCGAGAGAATTCAAAAATGAACGATTTCTCGATTTAAGCAGCCTGAGCCATTTCTTCCGGGCAATTCAATTAATGTGTTACCAGTATTTTGATGTAGCTAGTGTTCTAATGCCGTGCTTAATCCTGACTCGTTTCACTTGAAGGAATTGAAATTTGAGGATAGACATTTCTGTTAAGCGTCTCAGAATAGGAACAGATGTCCTTGGATCCAGTGATGATGTGACACTAATTAATGTGAGTGGTGGACAAGGATCGCTGACAGCTTTCCGTGCACTTATGGTTAGGCTTGCC